CATGCTGTGTCCTAGTTGTGCGCCACAATGCTTTGCTGGTCCGTCTTCCTGCCTGTTGAACCATTCTGGTGGTTTCCTCCACACAGTCCATCAGGTCCAGTCTTTGCATGCGCAGGTAGACAAACTGTAATTCACTGAGGGCCTCATACCTTCGGCTACCCCCCCCCCCTGGTTTTGCCTGCCAATTGAAGCGGTTTACCGGGGTGTGGCCACTGTTGCATGCAGTTACTAGGAGCCACAGGTGAGAGTTAAGTGCAGGTGAGGACCACAGCAGGTGAAACCACCTGAAGGTGTGACTGTTCTCTATCAGAGGTATTACCCCTTGCTGACAACCCAGATACCCCTAATAAATATTCTCCTGTATAACTACCTTACCTGGGAACCACCTACGGCCAAAATACGTTTACTTCTTTTACCGCACACCTTCTTGTCTTCCCTTTCGGATGAACTGCGCCTTCCCCACACCACTCGTCCTTCAGAGCGTCAAATGAATTGGATATCTTCACAAAAGCTGTAAAGACCTTGTAAGTCGTCCCAGGTTCTTTGTTGTTCGTGACACTCCAAGATGAGGACTAAGGCTGCTCACTTCCTCTTGCGGGCAAATGCATTTCTTCATCTACCCAAGTTCCTCACACAGTTCTCGACCCTCAGAGCACCACACATTTCCACTAAATTTCTCAAAATTTAATTCTGTACTGTTAGCTTCCAATATAAGTTGTCTCAAATTGAAGGAATTGTTTCCTACTCTGACTTAAATCCATTTATGCTGTCTGTTAGCTTTCAAATAACCATACCGTGATCCAATATAGGGTACCCCCACCCCCAATACCATGTGCCCCTCTTTCATGAAGCACTGTATCAAAAGATTTGCAAAAATCAAGATATATAATGTCACAATAATTTCTATTATCAACCGCTTTAAAATGCTGGCAAAATAATGAGAAAATTTGTTAAACACGAGTGACTCTTAGTACGATCATGTTGTGGATTCTTTTCCATTCTGTTTTTCAAGATACCAGAGGCAGAGTGGTTGATCCAGAAAGGTAGGGGCCACAAAACAGACCCCAACTGCTAGAAAAGTGCAACCTGCGACCGAAACAGAGGCAAAGAACTTCCCCATAGAAAAATAAGGAAACAAGCAAATTGTCATCAACCGACATGCCTCACGTTCGTGCCCCCTCAAAGCGGGAGGGGAGGTCCTGCCCATACGAGCTGGCCATCTGCCCACCAGTTTGGAGACTGATCAAACAAGAGAAAACCACCAACCAGAGGGAGAAAGGGTGCAAGGAAGCCCCCGGGGCTCACCCACAAAATGTCGTTTCATGACAATCTACGCTGGTTTTATGTGGGGAGCCCCGTTGGCTTCCTGGAGCTCGTTACCCAAAGATAAGTAAAACAGGGACTTATACGTGAGGCAGCAGCACTGCGTGCCTCACCCGTAACGTTCACGAGATAATGGACGGCCAGGACCCCTGTGCGACCTCCAAAACCCTCATGCCCAAACCCCCTACCTTACCTTGAGGTTACCTTGAGGTGCTTCCGGGGCTTAGCATCCCCGCGGCCCGGTCGTCGACCAGGCCTCCTGGTTGCCGGACTGATCAACCAGGCTGTTGGACGCGGCTGCTCGCAGCCTGACGTATGAGTCACAGCCTGGTTGATCAGGTATTCTTTGGAGGTGCTTATCCAGTTCTCTCTTGAACACTGTGAGGGGTCGGCCAGTTATGCTCCTTATGTGTAGTGGAAGCGTGTTGAACAGTCTCGGACCTCTGATGTTGATAGAGTTCTCTCTCAGAGTACCAGTTGCACCTCTGTTTTTCAACGGGGGTATTCTGCACATCCTGCCATGTCTTCTGGTCTCGTGTGATGTTATTTCTGTGTGCAGGTTTGGGACCATCCCCTCTAATATTTTCCACGCGTAAATTATTATGTACCTCTCCCGCCTGCGCTCAAGGAAGTACAGTTTTAGGCTCTTTAGTCGGTCCCAATAGTTTAGATGTTTTACCGAGTGGATTCTAGCAGTAAAGGATCTCTGCACGCTCTCCAGGTCAGCAATTTCTCCAGCTTTGAAAGGTGCTGTCATTGTGCAGCAATACTCCACTCTAGAGAGCACAAGCGTTTTGAAAAGTATCATCATCGGTATAGCATCTCTAGTGTGAAAAGTTCTTGTTATCCAACCTGTCATTTTTCTTGCAGTTGTGATGGCTACTTTATTGTGTTCTTTAAAGGTAAGGTCTTCCGACATGAGTACACCCAGATCCTTTACATTGCCTTTTCGTTCTATGTTATGATTTGCCTGAGTTTTGTACGTGGTTTCCGTTCTAATATTTTCATTTTTTCCATAGCGCATGAGCTGTGCCCGAATGTCAACACAAGACATGTTCCCAAACACAACAGCAAGAGCCACAAACTTTCGAGCACCTTGAGCACGAGGGTAGACCACAGGCTGGCTAGACTTGATAACCCTGCAGACGACCTGAGAGACAACAGGGAACGAAGGATAAGGAATGCCCTGGGACAGGGAATGAGGGATAATGGATCAACCCAAAAGTGCATCCCCGGACACAGAACTTGAGGCGGTCAGGTAACGGCATAAAGCCGTAACCGGACACAAAACATGGTGTACCCCGGCTTGACCAACCAAACATCAATAACCCATGAATCCCTCCAGAAGCCAGCCGTCTCATTCTTCGCCAGAAATGAAGGCGACAGCTGAAAACGAACAAAAAGTCCACCAGGACCAAAAGAGCAGAAACCCCTATGCCAGAGAAGAGCATGAAGTTCATCAACTCGACTCCTAGTGGCCAAAGCCAACAAAAACAAAGCTTTTCGACAACAATCTTGGACCGAAGGGGCCACCACAAACCTAGGGAGGAAGAGACAAAAGAGAGCACCCAGTCCAAAAACCAGGACAACTCAGGCAGTGCATAAGCAGGCTGGAGGTGGAAAAATTAACGAAAAACCTTACGGAAAAGTGCAGAAGTAACATCCTCCTCAAATGCAAGTGCGAGCAGCTCCATCAGCGCAGCACAATAAGAGGTGACAGAATTCGGTGTAAGATAGTATTCGGTGTAAGATGATGGTCCTGAAAAAGCCAAGAAAGGAAGGACAAAAAAAAAAGAACAGAAACAGAAGTCAACCTACAAAGAGAAAGAACGGGGTTTCAGCAGCATCTGGAACCAAGGCTGGGCCAGCCACCATGGGGCCAGAAGGAGAACCCTCCCCCAATAGGACTCTAGCTGAGCCAGAACCCGAAGCAACAGATGGACCTGGGGAAAGAGGTACAGATAACCCCACCTTGATTAGTCCTGCTAAAAAGCATCTACTGCAATGGCATCGTAGTAAAGGAAGGGCACCCACATATAATGGGAGATACCTCAACCATGCCGGCGCGAAGAGGTCCACCTCTGGGGGCCCGAACGTCCGGCAAAGCCTACTGAAGGAATCGGCGTCGACCGACCATTCTGTGGACATTCATTCCTGAATGAACCAAGACAGGCCATCCACCAAGACGTTAGACATGCCCCTGAGAGCTAACTGCACAGAGAGCTAAACCCCAAAAACTCGGCAGAAGAGCCACACGAAACAACCAGCCCGAAAGCATTTCAGAACTGGAAACAAGCAAGAATCCCACTTGAAGGACGAGATCATTTTGACCCCGTTTCACACAAACGCACACACTCCAAGATAACCCGATGGAGTGAAGGGGAGGAGGCAGGTAGGCTGCCCCATGTGTCTTAAATAAAAAAACGAAAAATAAAAAAAAATTGAAACAATTTGAAAAACAGACAAATGCCATAAAGGTTCATTCAGTGTTTGTCAAGTAGGCTGCTCCATTATTGAGACGTAAATGAAAAATTCAAAACGGAACACATTTGAAACAAAGAAAGATTGTCATAATGAAGCAGCCTACCCGACAAAAACTGAACGAACCTTTATGGCATTTGTTCGTTTTTCAAATTGTTTCAACTGTTTTTTTTATTTTGTTTTTTTTATTTAAGAAACATGGAGCAGCCTACCTGCCGAACACCGAACGAATCTTTTGCTATAAGACAAATGAAAAAAATATTGAACAAATTTCAAAAAAGAAAAATGTTATAAAGGTTTGTTCAGTGTATCTAGGGTAGGCTACTCCATTATTTAAAACATTGAATATCATAGATGTTTTTCGGTGGTAGAACGGATTAATTTGAATTCCATTATTGTCAATGGGGACATTCGTTTTGTATGACGTTCGTTTCACATGACGATCACGGGGGCCGGAACAGATTAAATTCGTTATTCGAGGTTCCACTGTATTATTATTATTGTTATTATTTAATTTTCTTTCGTCTAATGCCTCTGTTCACCAAGCAGTGAGTATGTAGGTACTCAGGAGTTAGACAGTTTGTTGTATGGTTGCATCCTGGCCGGCATCTGTAATTCGGCCTTGGGGAGGGGTGGGAGTGGGGAACCTCGATAAAAGCTAAAATATGTGTGAATACACTCTGGCTTTCTGTCCCCCGACATACTGAATTAATTATTACATTACTTGCACATTATACAAGATATAATTATTGAATTATTACTTTTATCTTAAACTGCCAATTATATTTGTACTTTTATTTTTAACTGTCAAGCAAATATTTTTGTAATTATACCTGTACAGTACTTTAAATTATCCAGCAATTATTTTTGTGCTGATATTTTAACTTGTCCATCAAGTGTCTTTGAACACTTGAATGATGAAAGAGTCCTATGAGGAAAGTGGTGCATTATGGGCACCCTCTTGCTCTGAATATTGGAAATAATCAGAGCCTTTGGGCGGAAATAATCAGAGCCTTTGGGCAGAAAAAATATACCGGTATTGTACAGGTAATGCTAATGAATGCTAAACTCTGCTCATCTCCAATATTATGTAAAAATCATATTATACACATCTGCATTTACATTCTGTATGTAATATGATTAAGGATTCACAACAAATAATGCAATACATAAATAAATAAATAAATAAATGTGTTTATTCAGGTGAAAGTATGTACATACATTCAAAATGAGTTACAAACAGAATGTTGGATTTCTAAATAGAGCTAGTACATACTATGGCTAAAGCCACTAATACACACAGCGTTTCAGGCAATATGTGGGAAAAACACTGACTAAAACTTAAAACTAATTGAGATCAAAGGATAAATTGAATTGAAAAATGGAAAAAAATAACAAAGAATGATAATAATTAGATGGAACATGAAATGGAACAGTAGAAATTGAAACAACAGCAGGAGTAATTTTAACTAAATAAACAGAAGACTACAATTTTCTTCAAGTTTATACTGGGTGAATATCAGCAGTTTTACAAGTTGGTCAATAATCAATATTGTTTGTATGTAGTAATAATAATATATAATAATGAGCACAGAGCTAAACAGTTTAGCTACAGTATTTTCAAATCTGATATTAATATTACCCCAAAAATCAAGAAGTACAGTAAATACATTGCATAAAATAATCAATGCTGACACAAATAAACACATTGAATCCTCCCAGCCAACTTACTACAGTACAGTAACACTCCATGATTATTGTAATAAGTCTATGTCATTGTTTCACAACTGAGGTTCGATTCCTGCAATAGGACAGATGCAGTTGGGCCCATTTCTTTTACCTGATGCATATGTTTATCTAGCAGCAAGTAGGTACCTGGGAGGGAGAGGGAATTATCATGGGAACAAGCCAAGCAATTGCAACTATGTAGTACTTGGAAGGGATCAGGATAAGGATTTGGGATGGGACGGGGGGAAGGAATGGTGCCCAACCACTTGGAAGATCGGGGATTGAACAGTGACCTGCATGAAGTGAGACCGTTGCTCTACCGTCCAGCTCAAGTGGCTTGGCACAGGTACCAGGGAGTTAGACAACTGTAAGGCAAGCCTCAATATGCCCAAGCACGAGCTTCCTATCCTCAAACTGGGAAATCAACCAAAAATGATTTTTAGAAGATTATACAGAACAGTATTTTAAACAAAATTATAAACTTAATATTAAACAATCATTAAATGGGTCTTTTCCACTGTACAGTACATACAGTGCTGTATTTAAATACTGGTAATAGCTCATTTACTAGGTCATAATATCAGAATTATACTACCTGTAATTGTACATGGAGACCAACTTCCAAAGGACATATTTACTTTGGAGAAAGTGTAACACAAGGGCAACAAAAATCATTCCAGATCTAGGTCAACTCTCAAACCAGGAAAGATTGGGGGCCACAGGGCTAACAACATTGTAAGCCAGACATGATAGGGGGTGGATCTCATAGAAACTTAAAATACTGAACAATATGGAGGATCAAAACCACTTCTTTAAAATGTCAAGTGTAACACATACAAGGAGCAATGGCTTCAAGCTCAATAAGTCACAATGTAGGACATAAAAGAAATGCTTTTTTCACCCATAGTAAACCCATGAAACTGCCTAATAGATGGAGCCAAAATGCAAAGATAATACTGCATATAAAAATCCAGATGGCAAAAAAAAATTCTGGAAAAATAGGGGGACTTTTGACAGTCCAGCAGCTTCCTATTCCCATCGAGACCACTAGGGAAATGATGGCCCTCAGGTAAATTCAGGTAGATTAGCTAAGTTATTCCAAGTCAAATTACTGTACTGAGTTTCAATTACATTAATATTATTTATTTTTAAAGTTAACTAGGCCTAGGAACTGCCCAAAACTACAGAATATATTTAGTTGCTTTAAAAAAATTATCAGAAGACAGTGAAAAATTACAAGAAAAAACATGTATTTTGTAATTTTCTAGGATCAATCTGCTAAACAATATACAGTACATTTAACACTAACACTTTTAGTAATAATATAATTAACAATACTTTCATAATTAAGTATTAATAAGAATACATTTTTACTTAATATATATATATATATATATATATATATATATATATATATATATATATATATATATATATATATATATATATATATATATATATATATATATATATATATATATTATATATATATATATTTATATATTATATATATATTTATATATATATATATATATATATTTATATATATATATATATTATATTTATATATATATATATATATATATATATATATATATATATATATATATATATATATATATATATATATATTATATATATATTTATATATATATATATATATATACACAGTATATATATATATATATATATATATATATATATATATATATATATATATATATATATATATATATATATATATATATATATACACATTATATATATATATATAATATATATACATTATATATATAATATATATATATACACACTGTATTAATTTGAACAAATTTTAGTGAAGAGGATTTGCAAGTTTATTACAAAAAGTATAATTTACATTTGCTAGAGAATCTAGCAGATTATCTTATTATCTTTTAATTTTCTTTGAAGCAATACAACTGCACTAGGAAACTTTCATGACCATTTCTTCTAAAGACTCTTAATATCGCATTGTTCTACATGAAAAAGAATAAGACCTTTTTAAAGTATTGTAAGCTTCAAGTATATCTTTAAAGGTTTACCTGAATTTACCTGAGGGCCACCAATACTAGTGGCCTCAACGAGGACAGAAAGCCGGCAGCTTGTCAAAGGTCCCCCCCCCATATGCCCTAATGACCTTTTCCAGTTGTATTTTAAAACCCAACAGAGTTTTGGCATTTACGGCTTCGGCAGGTAGGCAGTTTCATGGGTTTATAACCATATGGATGGAAAAGCCTTTCCTGTTCTCAGTCCAACATTGTGGCTTGTTGAGTTTGAAGCCATTGTTCCTCATTCATGTTACATCTGACTTTTATTAGAAATTGTCGGGAATAACATCCTCCAAACTGTTCAGTTTTAAAAGTTTCAATGAGATCTGCCCTGTCATGCCTGGTTTGCAGTGTTGTTAACCCTGTGGCCCTCAACTGTTCCTGGTACGAGAGATGACTTAGTTTTGGAATGATTTTTGTTGCCCGGTGTTGCACCTTCTCCAGAACAGCTAGGTCCTTCTGAAGATGAGGTCTCCATGCCTGGATGCAATAATCTAGGCTGGGGCGCACCAGAAACTTATGCAGTTGAATGGTTACCTTCTTTTTTCTTAAAGGTAAAGGTATGCTTGATTATTCCAAGGGTTTGGTTAGCTTTTTTTTTACTGTCACTCCCACTTGTTATGAAACTTTCAGTGAATGATGGATTCTGACTCCAAAGTCCTTTTCTTCATCAATCTGTTGTAAGGTAGTGCTGTTAATTGGGTAATGTGACATGGATAGTTATGCCCTACTTACAGGGTCTTGCATTTAAGGGCATTAAAAAGCACTTGCCAATCATCTGACCATTTGTGGAGTTTGTGTAGATTTATTTTGTAAGGTCTCAATATAATTTTCACTTCCTACTTTACCATAAATCTTAGTGTCATTTGCAAATTTGATGCACAAATTATCACAATACTTGTAACACAAACTGTCACAAGTTTAGGTGACTTAAGGCTTAAAATATAATCTAAATGTTAAATGTGGTAATATAAAGTTATGTAAGTGAATGAAACTTACATTCACTTACATGAATGAAACTTTCACTCATAAAAATGACTGGTGCTGTGTGGAGGTGTATGTGAATCAATGAAGCTCCTGTGTATGATGTAACAAATGAACAGGTTAGGTTTTCATTTTTCTTTTTAATGTATCTCTTACTGTACCTTCTTTCACTATATTACTTGCCTTTTATCTCTAGGCTAATACCTTCTCAGTCCCCACACCATGAAAGTGGACAATGGTAGTAATGATAATGTAATATGTATGTAAATATGCTTCACTATGTTAATTAAGCTTTCAAGTAAGAACACAAATCATATTAAACTAAAACCAAAACTTGGGTAAGTTTGTGTATATGATTTGGTTCTAACCCTAAAATTAAGAATCAAAACAGGTTACTTGAAAAAATTAGTTCTGTACTAAAATTCTCCTCATGACTTTAAATCCACATATGTTTTACCTTTTCAATCTTGGGCAATTCAATTTTATCCTTAAACTCCAAAAAGAACTCGCCCAACTAGAATATGATATTTTTGTATTTGTAAAACTCAAGTCAGTGTTTGACTTCACCATCTTTATCACAAAACAGTTCATACCAAGGTTGGTAAAAAAAAGTCTTATTATAACTCAACCCACCCAAGATAGGGGCAGGTCGAGTTTTTATCTATTTAATCAATAGATAAATAGTGCAAGTTTAAATATAGATACAATAACCTGTAACTAAATTGCCCATATAAGAGCAAAAAAAAAAAAAAAAAAATGTTTATGTGCCTGGGTGCACACAAATGTGTGTTATCAACATAGAAGGCATACTTTGATTTTTTTTTTAAGGCATACTTGTGTATGGAAATTGCTGCATCTAAAGTTTTGTTTCATCTACTCTTTGTTACAACTAGCACCAGTATAGCACACATGTACACCCCTGCTATAGTGACGGTGTTCTGTAGCTGACAAGGGTTCTGACTGTAGTACCAGACAGCTGCTTGTGCACAATATCTGTATTTAATCTAGGTGCGTGTTATGTCTGTCGGGTTGGAAAACTAGCCGATACACTGTTTCTGTTTGGTAAATGTTAATGATGTTATTGCTTGCTTTCTTCAATCTCTAATTTAGAATATTGGGTATTTAGAGTTTAAGAAGGAAAGTATAATGTATTGGAACATTTTTAGAAAACCAAATATACAGTAGGTTATTAAATTTTGCAATGTAATGTCTCTTACAAACCTCTATATTTATTTTCAGCTATTCTTATATTTACCTAAACTGTAGAAGATTTTAATGGTCCCCAAGGCTAGACTTGAAACTTATTAAAATGCCACAAATATTTAATTTTTAATTCTTAAGATGTTTACATTAATTCTATTCAACATTGAGGCAAACTGTCAGATATGTGGAGTTGGCTCTACATTCTGCTATGTTAACCAATTGGTAAACATCTCATTCCATGCACTTTAATCACTCACTCTAATATTGCCTTCCTTATTCTACCTGCATATACGTACTGGTTTAATCAATCTGAATATAACAATATGAAAATCACCTGCAATGCCAGCTAAATAGTGAATGCCCAGCATCAAGACAGCTCTCAACTAAAGTTAACGTATACAATGAGAGGTGGTATTTAATGTACTAGCGATGTCAAAGAGTGAAATAACTCTGGATATAATAGTTTTTTAGTTTTTTTTAAGTAAGATTCTTGCATCTCCGTCAAACCTGTAGTTATACGTCTCACTGACAAAGACACCTAATATGCCCCGTCAGCCTGGCAGTTGTCTAATAATGACGTACATTTCACTCCCTGACAGATAACAGTTCCCAGTTATCTCACTATCATGTGAACTCTCCTGAAGTTTTAGCCACCAACCCCGTTGTCATCAACAAACAGAACTTTCCCCACATTTCTGCATCATGAATACCCACAAAAACTTGCTAATAAACCAAACAGCTCATCAATGCACGGGATCTATGTCATATGCAATTCATAACAAGTTGAGTTTGCTGGATAAACGTCATAAAAGGGTACTCACCCAGGTCGCGCGACGTCCGTGTTTACGTCCACCAGTCAGCTGACGACAGTGTGACACGCCGGGCTGCGCGGGACGCCCGGGTCAACACTATCATAATTTAATAATATATATAACTTAATCAAATTTTATAGTCATTTAATAATAATATTTATATTATTATTTTTATATCCGCTCACGGGATGGGTTTGGGGTACATAATAAATAAATGAAACTAAGCTTTACTTACAGAGAAGTTTCTGTACAAAATATATTTTATTTATTTATTTATATATAAATATACAAAAAGGTAAATTGGGTTTATGAGAGTGCATAGTAGTGATGATTTTACATTATTGTAAAGCCACTAGCAGGCATAGCGTTTCGAGCAGGTTTATAAGGGTCATGTATAACAATTGTGTATAACAATTGTGGACTACATTAAATTAGGTTGCAGGCAAATTAATAGGCTTTAGTGAATGAAGATGACATTTAATTAGTATAGATAAAGGTATTATCTATATTACCTTTATCTATAGGGTAATACTGATTGGTGATATCTTGAAACGATGGAACACAGCTTTGGGCTGGGGAAGAACCATCATGGCCCTTGGACTGAGGCGAGTGATGCAAACGGTCAAGACGATGATCATCCCTATCCCTAAAGCCAATGGAGAGTACAGACCTGTGTCTTTAACCTCGTGTTTTTGTAAAATGATGGAGAGGATTATTTTAAATAGACTTTTATATATAATAGGTGATCAGCTGTCTAGTAATTTGTTTGGGTTCCTCAAAGGAAAAAGTACCTCTGATTGTATTATTAAATGTCTAGCTAATGAAAATGATTATTATAGAATTTTTATTGATTTACAAGGAGCTTTTGATAAAGCCAACAAAGAGGCTATTTTATATGAATTAGCTGGTCTTGGTGTTAAAGGGAGATTATTGCGCTGGATAGGGGACTATCTTTACGAAAGGAAGGCTCAGGTGTGGTATCAAGGTTGTATGTCAGGTGTGAGGTCTTTTGAACTCGGCACACCTCAGGGAGGAGTGTTGAGTCCCACCCTGTTTAATGTACTAATGAATAAGATAGCATCTGAGTGATACTCAAATGGGGTAACTCCGATCATATATGCCGATGATATTTTGTTTCAGGGCAAGGATATTTCAAAGGTTCAAACAGTGTTGGACAATTTCGGAAACCTGTGTCACCATATGGGATTGGTGGTTAATGAAAACAAAACTAAGTTTGAATGTAGAAGTCGGAGGCCCATTATATTGAAAATAATCAGTAAAAATATAGTGAGAGTTAATATATATAAATATTTAGGCATATATGTTGGATATACCCATGAGAGTTTGGAAGCTGAGATGAACAGACTGTTGGGTCAATGTCGGAAGAGATTACAACCTCTGAAGGCCTTGGCATGCTGTGGAAAGGGAGTGGGAGTCCCTGTGCTACGAATGATATACTTGAGTACTGTAAGATCTCTTATTGATTATGCTGCACCTGTCATTTCTTGTTTTGGTAAAGGTACGATGGGCAAGTTGGAGAAGGTACAAAATGAAGCCATGAGAATTATCTTAGGATGCCCAAGAAATGCTATGATTGAGATAATGAGGATGGAGTTGAATCTGCAGAGTATTGGGGATAGAATTGTAGAGATAAATGTAGCCTCTGCCATTAGATTAATGAGAGGTGGGGGAGCTAATGAATTAATCCTCTCGGTTCAAAAGGTGGGAAGTAGTGAACAGTGTATGATGAAGAAGAGAGTATATATGAATAACTTATGTACTAATGTTATAAAGTATGATGTTATTACAGAGTGTATTGCTGTGCCCAAGAGAAAATTTACACCACCATGGGAGGATTGTAATGTAGATATAGTAATTGCTCCCTTGCATAAGAAAAAAAGTATGTATGAAATAGGAGAGCTGAGGGCAACATATGATTGTATAATTAGAAAACTGCCTACAGAAAACACTCTACATGTATATTGTGATGGGTCAGTAGCTAGGGATGGGAAGGCAGGATGTGGAGTCTTGATCAGGGATTGATGATTGATAAAGATTAGGCCACCCAAGAGGTGGCACGGGCATGAATAGCCCGTAAGTGGTACAATTTTTTTTTTCCTCAGTATTCTGAGGTTGCATTTAACCATCAAGCTGTTATCGCGGGGGAGGATACTGCTTCACAGTCTTTATGAGGGTGTCCAGCTGCTGGACACCTTTGTTGACCAGGAGAGTGGCTGTGTTGATGGCTTCAGGGTGGCCACTGCATGATTCAGGAACTCTTAAAGCTCTTCTAAGGTCATTGGTTGCTTCACATTCCAGAAGATAGTGAAGTAATGGCTTTTCTGTGACAGTTTGGCAGAAGATGCACTCTCTCTGTCGGGGTTCACCAATCTCCCAGTTGCATCTGTAACCTAGACGTAGTCTATATAGCCTAACTGCTATTTCCCTGTGGATTCCTTTTGGGATATTTAACCTTTCTAATTTGGTTGCCTGAAGATACCATGTTGCAGATGGCGAACCTTCAGCTATTCTCTGGTGAAATTGAATTGAAATTGAAATAAGTTTATTGAGGTAAAATACACACAAAGGGAAGAGGTAGCTCAAGCCATTCTCACCCCATTCAGTACAACGTGTTAATATATACATAGACACACATCACAAATAAACATATTACCAAACATTCTGAGAGGTAAAAATATACATTTCCTCCCTCACAAGTAGTATGGTATCAGACGTACACACAAATACTTTTATGACCTAGGTATACTGTATAGACAATTTGCAAGACACCTGCAGATAATTCAACAAAATATTACAATCTTGGTGCAAAATTCTTATATCTCTCAAGAATATCATCAACCTTTCCGTTGTGACACATCCAGGCTATTTGTTCAGGAACAGTCCTTATATCAGTGTTTCTATATACATTAATCAACGGACAATCAAGAATATAATGGGCAAGGGTGTGAGACCTTAACATACCACATAGTTTACACTTCGTGTCATTATCATGAACATCTATCCCATATTCCCAGTAATATTTGTACCCAAGCCTGAGCCGCATGTACACAGAGTCACTCCAAGCATTTCTCCTTTTACCATAAGTGAAATGGGTGTTTTGACTCACATACATGTAGTGTTGCATGGTTTGACTTCTCTCATACATTATCTCTCTCCTCTCCACTCCCGCCTGTGCCTGAATATTTCTGATTTTGCTTCTTATTTGTCTCATTGTGAATTCACATTCAATGTCAACTTGTGGTTTTGATGTGGCACGTTTGGCCAAGTCATCCGCCACCTCGTTGAGCACTATTCCAACATGAGATGGAATCCACATGAATTTCACACTATAACCTTTCAGCTGTATCTCAGTTATTCTTCTCTTACAATCCTCAACTATAGACATGAAGACTGGGTTTCGACTGTTTAAGGACTCCAGTGCTCCTCGGCTATCGACAAATACAAAAACATTTTTGTCGTCATGATGTACTTCCTCCAAACACGCCAGAATGGTCTGCAGTTCAGCTTGTGTGGATGATATATAATTACTAAGCCGGAGTTCAATTATCCTGTCCACAGTCCCAAACTCCGTATAATCCCTTATTAGGACACCACACCCTGCCCTGCCATCCTCCGCCACCGACCCGTCGCAATATACATGTAAACTGTTGCCTCTTGGTAACCGAGATATCATGCTTCCATACAAACACCGTAATTGTCCCGGTTCATGATGAATCTTTTTCACCTTGAGGGGTACAATTTCGACGTCTATTTTCTGTACTTTCCAGGGAGCAGACATATTACACTGTCGAGAGGGTTTACAGCAGTCAAGTACGTCGTATTCCCTGAGGTCATGAGCTAATCCTCTCATATAGCGTGTCTCCCTCAGTTTCCTGGAAGTGTGTACGTCACTCAAGCAGGTCTGAACGCTCTCAAACAGCTTATCCCCTCCTTTTCTCCGCATGAAACGAATAGATACTCTAGTGTTAATGTCACGGACTCTATCACACACACTCTGTAAATTTAATTCCATTCTCATTATTTCAATCATTGCATTTCTTTGACATCCAAGAATAATCCTCATAGCCTCGTTCTGTATCAGCTCTATTTTTTGAATTCTGCCTTGGCCTGTGTAAGACAATACGGGTGCTGCGTAGTCTATCAGGGATCGAACAGTGCTTATGTATAACATCCGCAAGATAGGTACCCCAACACCTTTACCAGAAAAAGCCAGTGCTTTCAAAGGATGCAGACGGGCTTTACATAAGGTGCTGATATGATTTATTTCAGCATTTTTACTCTCACATGTGTATCCAACATACATGCCCAGATACTTGTACTTCTGTACACGGCTCAGTTCCACACCATTTAGAGTAAGTGTTATATTCTTCTTCAAACGCCATAGCAACTTCTAATTCATTTGACGTTTTGGAGGACGAGTGCTGTGGAGAGACTGTGGATCGCGCAAAAGGGAAAGCAACGAAGAGAAAGGAAGCGCAGGCCCCTCAGAAAGTAAAGGAAGTACCTAAGCAAACATTAGTTGTGGGAGATTCCCAGATAAGGTATTTGGATAGAACGTTTTGTGCTAGAGATAGGGGGAACAGGTTAAGGGTTTGCTATCCCGGAGCTGGCATTGGTGATATTATAAACAACATGAATGATATTATGGCTGGTAATGGGAACAATCCCATTATTTGCATTAGCGTGGGAGGAAATGATGTTGGTCGAGTTAGGAGTGAGGAACTGATTCAGAGGTATAAAACAGCCATAGAGTTAGTTAGGAGCAAGGGAGGAATCCCGATCATATGTGGCATTCTTCCAAGAAAGGGAGTGGGAAATGAATGGATATCGAGGGCACTTGGTGTCAATTGCCGGCTGGAAAGATATTGCAAATCAAATGCAATATCTTTCATAGACAACTGGGAACACTTCTATGGAAGAAATGAAATGTATGCTCGTGATGGGGTGCATCTATCGAGAGCTGGGGTTGTTGCTGTTGCGAACTCGTTAGAAGAAGTGGTTAGAGGTGTTTGTTTGGGTTTAAACTGTTA